TGATCCGTTCAACATTTTTTTGTAACCTGTTTTCGATTGTTTGATGTTTCGTTCTGGATTGTTTGTGATAAATTTGTTGTTCTATGTTATTTGTTCTGTTTCATCGAGATTGGCTATGATATCGATATGGTGTACATCTGAAAACCAGCAAAAGACCCAACGATTGAAATCAAATGCATGGCGCATCCCGGGGATCCACTGGTCGCCCAGTTCGCTACCGAAGGGAAGAATTTCGCTCAAGGTAACCAGGCCTTTCGTTCTTCTCCTATCGATTGAACGCACAGGTCGCGATCGCATACCTGGAGAAATTCTTACTTTAGAGGAATCCTTCCTTAAAAAATCGTGGCTCTATCTCATGTATAAATCAATGACTTGAGATAGATTCGCGATAAGAAGGACAAGAACAAGTAACAATTCAAGAAACCGCATAGACTCTTGCGGGTACGTGGAACTTTAAATGTTGTCACTAGCGATCACAACTGACATACTCATGTTGGTAGAGAATGCAAGAACGTCCCAAAAAGGATTCCTCTGAGCGTCTTTACTGCGAATAGAGTAGTTTCTGAAGGAAGCCGTTTCTTCGAAGTGTTGTACTTGGTATGGTAAGAAAGTCCTGAGCCGATTTTTTGAAAGCTCCAGAACTTTCGCTTATTGATCGATACCTAGAATCTGCTACGTGATAGATTATCGCTGTCGATCATACTTCTCCGCAGTAGGTATATATTAGCCGGGTTGCCTTCTTTAACTTTAATCATGATGTCGATTCCACAAGAGCACTTTCGAGCGATCATCTTCAATGAATGGCGCTGCGGCACAGGAGCAGTGGAAACCGTCAACATCAGCATCGCATTGGGAAGGGACACCACTTCCATCATCAGTGCCAAGCTCTGGTTCGCAGGCTTCGAGAGGAGGAGACACGGCTTCCGAAACAAGACAAGGTTGGGAAGCCCCCAAACAGTGGAAGACTCCACCGTTCTCGGCGCTGTCGAAGAGGATCCGGAGGTTAGCACCCGCAGCCTTGTGATAAGACTCGGGTGCACCCATCCCACAGTCCTCGGTCCCCTCCACGCCCTCGCCACAGGAAAGTGCCGACTCGATGGATCCCTCATGTCTTGACCGATAGCACGCGGTTCAGGCGGGTACCCATTTGTCAGTTTCTCCTTCTTTGTCCGCACCGAAAGGAGTTTTTGGAAGGCATGATTACGAGAGATGAGAGTTGGGTCCTCTACGATTCTAACAAGCACAGTGCCGTGTGGCTCCCTCGAGGAGAAGACCCGCCGACACAAGCAAAATCGGACCTTCACCCCAAAAACTGTCTTCTTTGCTACCTCTGGGATTCGTGAGGAATGTTGTATTATGAGATGCTCCCGCAAGACATACCGCTACCGGCAGCATTTACGCCAGTCAGCTCCAGAAACTAGCGGACGCTGTTCAAGAAAAACGACCGAGACGAACTTCTGTCCACCTACTCCACGATGACGCCAGGCCCCACATAGCTAAAGAGACCCGTGCAAAATTGGAAGAGCTGATCTGGGACGCGGTTCCCCACCCACCCTATTCCCCTGACATTGCCCTCTCTGATTATCACTTATTTCATCCCCTTAAGGCATTCCTAGCGAAGAAAAAATTCACCAAAGTTGAAGACGTTGAAAGAGCGGTCAGCGATTTCTTTGACTCTCAGTCTGCTCAGTTCTGGGAGAAGGGGGTCGCTGACCTGCCCATTAGGTGGGACTCTGTAGTGAGTAACAATGGTGATTATATTGTTGAGTAGATTCCATTGTACGCGGAATAAAAAAGTAAAGCACAAAAAAGTGTCAAACGGCTCAGGACTTTCTTACCATCCTAATACTTTTGTTAGGGCTGCTTTTGCTTGTTTTGCGGAAATGTTCAAATTGTGTCCCATTCTGTGTAGTGTTTCTTATGTAAAGTTTTAAACACAATCAAAAGAAGCCCATTCCTGTGGGATTCACACGAATCGCCAAGCAATCAGTCCAGAGTTTTAGACAAATGTAAGCCAAAAGCTTAAAGCCACTATCGATACAACCAGGATGAGCTATGCATTTCGATTTCCTGCTGCGGTTCATACCATACCACACAGAATGATTGGAATGCTTGTACCAGAAGCTACGGAATTGGAAGGCGGTGCATCTAAGCCGCAAAGGACGAGCACATCGTGCTTAAAGCGAGAGATTGCGATAGGATTCTGTTGTGCTCATAGTGGAAGTGGAAGATGCTGAATAATGCCCTAGTAGCGAAAAAAGCAAAGAAATCCGTCAAAAACGCGCAAAATGGGACC